AAGAATAACAATTTTTTCAGAATTTTTCAACATTTTCAAAATCTCTGACAAACGTCCTTAATATCATTCAATCCAAACAAAATAAAATATAAAGTGTATCTCAAATAGGTTCTACCGATACATAGCTAGTCATAGTTGTACAGGCATCTGCTAGCTAGCGACATACGACCCGGAAATCTGAAAACCCCGCGCTGTGTGTCATTATACGTATACTCTGTATTGTGACTGACGGCTAAGCTGACAATGAGTAAGAGAGATAGTGTATGCCCGAGCATGCGTCTACGGAGTGCGACGTTACCAAATCTGAAGTTCAATCTTCGATGAAAATCATACTCTCTTATTTATTTCTACTAATTGTTATAAGTTCTAAACTATATTTTTCGAAGCAGCTATATTTTCTTTATTTACTTTTCTATCACCAAAAATTTTTTCAAACTAATCTCAATTTTTGTTCATTAGATATCCTAACAATAACGTGCCTTTCCATAAGAGTCAATGTAAAAATTGGAAAAGTATAATAATTCATTTCTCAGTTTTGGAGCTCTGAAAACTCACCAAAATTTCACTGTAGCTTTATGAAGGTATTATTAAGGAGTGTGTAAATTTACATCAACTTCTGAATTTCTAATCCACTATCGGTAGAACCTCCTTAATCAAGTCACGTGCCAAGAATGTAATCGAGATCGTTTTAAATAAGAAACTTACATTCTGGTTTTGTCGTTTAAACGTTAGATGTTACTTGTACTTGATGTATAATTGTTGATGTAGATGTTGTAGTACCACTATAAACTCTCTTTACTTTTAAAATATAAAGTGTAGCTACTGCAAAATTGTAACTGACTCCGATGAAGAACTTTTGCAAATGGAAGGATATTCCAGGATATTCGACACTCGGTGACTCGGTTCGGAAAAACCAGTATACTACCTCACGCCAGCAGGGATCTCAGATTTTATAACGTACGGCTCGCTTCCCCACTTTTTCGCCTGTATTTCGATCCCCACCTTCGCTGACCATGCCTAGCATATCCCCATCAAGTACCAGTCCCCACCATGGTCGCGTCGTCCCCACTTTCCGTAGTCTCACGAAACAAATTGACAACTATAGTTGTGAGAATTCGTATCTTTAACATACAGTATGAAACTGTTTTTGCACATGTTCCTTTGATAGGATTATAAATGACATAAAAGAAAACTATCGCCTAGAAGCTCATGACGAATTTATAAAATAAATATCTCCATAATTTCATTATTAAATAATAATTT